TTGGCACGCACGTCTTCAAAAATCATAAAACCAAAATGTCCCACTTTTCAAAATATTCCTATACAAATTTCTTGTGATCAACGGTATATGTAATACTTCGAAGCATGTTTCATGCACACATTTTTCGGATATATACACAAATTATGAAATCTAAGCTAAAGTAGATGTGATACAGAATTGTATTGGTGTTATTGACGGAACAAATGTTGAAGCCCGTGTCAAATGCTCATAAGAGTGCATACATTGGACAGTATGATTCATCTACACAAAATCTTATGACAGCATGCGATTTTAAGATGTGTTTTACCTTCGTCGTGGTTGAGTGAGACGGCAGCACTCACGATAGTCGAAACTTCAATTTTACTACCCGTTCCCGTGTACACAAATTTACCCTCCTACCTCAAGTTTGGTTGACAGTCTATTAGGTGTTTATTAATTTGAGTCTAATGCATAATGGCTAACGGTTGATGGTGAAAATTTCATTCAGGAAAATATTATTTAGTAGACATCGGTTATCCATTCCAACGAAGATTTTTTAAGCTATTTTTTAAGACAAAATATTACATATCAAACTTTGAAAGGGCAAACCAAGTTGTACGAGGAAGAAAATATATGTCAATAAATGTCAATCATCATTACGTGGTGTAATTGAGAGGGCGTTCGGTATTTGGAAGAAAAATGGATCATTCTACGAGATATACAAACATATTCTTTTGAAAACCAAGTTAAAATTGTCACCACTACAATGATTCTCCATAATTACATATGTTGTTATCATTCACAGTTTAATATTGATTTTGCAATTGTAGATGGGAGTGAATCGGTACCTCCAAAAGCATATGAATAACAATTACAAACCATGATGATATCGCTAGTCCAACTATAGTTGATGGAGAAAGTGTTGAAGAGATGGTCCAATTATGTGAAGCTATCACCGATTCTTTTGTTAACTGTTGATGTATTATATTGTAATTCACTGTCATTTTCGGAAAGAAATGTTATTTCTTTTTATTGAGTGTGCTATATTTTTCATTTCAGTAAGTTCTAATTTTTATTCATTCATATATAGAAAATTGGTGGATAAGACCTACATACTTCATACCATCCCAATAATATATTCTCTCAATACTACATCAATACCACCTCAATACCACATCAATACAACCTCAATACTACCTCAATATCATCACAATGCCACCATAATAATATCTTGACACAAAAGCTCCAATATCACATCAATACCACCCCAATATTACCACAATAATAGCTTAAGCACAAAACCTCCAATATCACCTCAGTACCACATCAAGACAACCACAATATCACCCCAAGAATATCTTGACACAATAATATCCCAATACAACATAAATACCGCCCCAATAATATCTTGACACAAAACCCTCAATACCACATCAATATCACTCTAATATCATATCAATACCACCCCAATAATATATTGGGACAAAACCTTCAATAACGCCTCAATATCACATCAAGATTACCTCAATATAATCCCAATACTACACCAATACCACCTCAATATCACCTCAATAATATCTTGACACAAAACCCATAATATCAACTCAATACCACATCAATATCACCTCAATATCACCTTAAACTATGTGGTATGTATATAAATGCTCCTTTAGGTTCTCATGATGCATTTTGCTGCATTTTATTTGATCTAGTAGCACATTTTTTGATTTCAAGGCAAGCCTAACCCACGTTGGAGGAAATTATTTTTGGAACTTATTTTACTTTTTTATAGTTAATATGGTTGTATTCTTTATGAAAGATCTGAATATTATCAATGTAAAAAAATTAGAGCTTTTGTTATAATATAAATGCAAAGGACTCTGATGGCATGTATGTAAATGACCATACTTTATATAAATTATGCATCTTCTTTTCTTTGCACATATTCATTTCTTTTCTTGCATTATTATACAAGATTATATTATCGAAAATGAGCACAAGCAATTTGATAAGTTCTAATGGAACCAAACATCGACAAGTATTTTGTGATTGCAACCTATAATGTGTTGTCTTTACGGCACAGAAAAGTGACAATGCTAGCCGAAAATTTAATAGATGTCCAAAAATTTTAACGAACAAATTTTAACGAACATAGATTGCAAATTTTTTCAATGGGTTAATAAACCGAGAGATGCAATATTGGAGCAAGGTGATGAAAAAATAAATGCATCTGATGATATGGTGAAGAATAATCTCAAAGACTTGAAATTTCTTGTGAAGACTTTACTTCCGTTTGATTTGTAATTGTAGCATTGTTGCTATTGTTATTAATGTTGTATTTGTTTTGATGATGTCAATGTTTTTTTACGAACAAAATTTTCTTTAGGTTTTTTTGGTAAGCAAACTCGTATGTTTGGGTAGAATGCATCTTATGTTTACTATATTATGTTTGTATGATTATTTTGAGAGCAGAAAATTGAGTTTATGCTCGTCTTAAATTCCCTTATGATGTTGTGAGGGAAAATAATATTTAAAATTAACATTGAATGTATTCCACAGACATAACTTTCAAAACTGTATTTTCAAACAAAATTGTGTATATATACTGAGGGGTATTACAGTCGTTAGTCTACAAGCAACACTTTCAGAACTGTGTTTTTAAAACAGGCCAACTACTTATGAAAGACCAATTTCTAAACAGTCGATAAGCTTTTAAATTGAGATTTTGTTAAGCCACAATAAAAACAAATGCACCCTAAGTGAAAGTTGAAGTGTTATAGAATGGCATCATGATGAGAGTTTGTGTAATTGGAGTTTGGCAGTTGGAAATTAGGTTGTGTTTCATAATTAGATTGAAATTATAGATTTGATGAAAGTGCATTCATGCATATTGAAGTGATCCAATGATTACGACCTAGAAGCACCACCATTTTTATCTTTAGCCTAATTGTATGAAAATTATAAAACACGCATTTTGGTATCATATCATTAGATGAAAAGATTAACTACGTTTATAATTTTATAAAGATGTATCATTATTAAATATTTTAGCCCAAAAAAAGGAGAAAAATTGGAAGAAAAGCTTATAATACAATCTTTATATTGGGAAACTTTGATAATCCAATGTGACAATGGTATAGAAGAGTTATGAAGAAATTATTGACTTAAAGTGATATATAGTGATATATAGCCACACTATAGTGATATTTCAAGCTCCTAACATAATTTCAAAATCTCTGGGATAAAATTGATAAGTAACATGCTAAAAATGGTTGAAAAGGTAATCAAATACTGGCAGTAATTAAGCTAACCTGGTGGATAGATCCAGATTCATTCAAATAGTGTTAAAGCTATGAAGAAAACCAGCAGTTAAAAATCTCAGTCATGTGGAAGAAAAAAAATGAAGACATATAACGCTATTGATACAATCTAATGTGGTAAAGCATGTTGGAGAAGTATCCACACTAGACCATCTTAACCACCCTCATCACCATCAGTTGAAATCAAATAATGTAAGTACAGTTCTTTGATGCCATTTGAGCATCTTTTTTTCTTTTCTTTTTTCATCTCTAGAGGGATCCAACCCCTAAACAAATGCAACCTTCACGAATCCGGATCAAGCTATTGTGCTTTCCACAAGGCTCTAATGACCTCAACTTCATGCCACGTTCGACCTATACTTGAACGTACAAGTTTACATTGACACTTGAGGTCAATGTAAAAATGCACTGAAAATGCTTGGGCAATTTGTAATAGGATTCATAAAACAAAAACAACTATTGATTGGATATTTCCTATTTGCAATAGGATGTATAATTTGGACTATGCTTCCTTTCCACTCATATCTATATTTCGTAAGACAACACATGTTTATAATCTATTTAAGTTGAGGTTGAGATCATGAGAACTAGTCTCCCGATCTGGGAGTTCAACTGTAGGTTCATGTGTTCCCTTGACTCTCGCAGGACATTCTTTATGAGTACCAAGTTGAAACAAAAAATGAACAAGATAAATTTTTTCGTTTGACACCCCATAATATCCTCTTGGCATCCACGATCAAGCTATTAGAATTAATTCTGAGATATCCAATTTTAGGGGCATATCAGGCATTATTAAACTATTTGTGGTTGGCATTGCAAACTATGATTTATTCTTATGGAGTGGACTTGATGATTTTACTTCAATCAATTTTTCTTGCACAACTTCAAGCATGCCATTATGGTTTACAACGTTTTCTTACAAGTCAACACAACACAATCATATTAATCTGCCTTATTGGTCCATCCGTCCCCATTTGTTGTGCATGCACAAAAATCGCCCAAACTTATATTTCACTATTGTATCTATATATAATATCCCAAATTCACTCCCAAACAATTTTTGAAGTGTGATAACAAACTCTTTGTTGCCCAACACTCTCATATCTATATAGCATATTGTTTTTAATTGCACATTGTAATTTCTCCCATAAATACTGTACGGTATTCATTTATTGCAAAGAACTTCTAAGGGACTTTCTAATTATACCAATCCAACTTCAACTCTAAAAGTTGTTCACAAATGTATTCAGATTCTTATGTCTATAGATCTAACATACCTAATCTATCATGTCAAAGTATCAATTGATCTTCAACTATATTTGATTAATCAAGATAGATTTCAAATCAACAAATTATGCATTATAATTGTGTCATTAATTTTAGTTATCCAAACTTTTATGAACCTCCCGATTCTTAAATTTAGTCACTTTAGAAGAGATTACGCCAATTAAAGTTGTCACAATTAAAAACTTCAGAATAAACATCGCTATACCCATTGAAAAATTCAATAAAAAGTCAACATATTAAAAACAAAAAAAATCATTTATTCCAATACACTATGTTTTAGTACTTTGTTCTTCTTTTTATATCTTATCTGTTAACCTGGTGTAGAATTTTATGGCGAGTAAAGCGTTATTTTTTTAGAATATGAATGCCTGCAATAAATAATGCAATGCAATGCCTTCAAATTATAATACTTACAATCTCTTCTCGAAGCTTATTGCCCTGTTGGATGGCAACGTTCTTCTCCTCCATCAAGCTCTGTTGGACGGCAGTGTTCTTCTCTTCCGTCAATTTTGAAGCTAGAGTCTTCGCCTGTAAAGTCAAATAAAATAACTTACTGAGAAGATAAAACTTACACATTGGTTATAAAAAAGTGTCTCTAGCCCGACTAATATTGGAAATGTCCAGAGGATATTTACAATAACAAGCATGGCATCATTCAATTAGGCCTATGTTAATAAAAAGAGCGTTCTAACAAAGGTATTATCAGCCCATACTCCAGTGCAAGACTAAAGAGGTCAACTGGTGGATCAAAAACATATCACTAGCGAAAGCAATGACCACAACAATAATCAAATTGCTTTGAAGCAACATCCAAGTGTTAGGCCTATGTTAACAAAAGTGTGTTCTAACAAAGGTATTATCAACCCATACTCCAGTGCAAGAGTAAAGAGTTCAACTAGTAGATCAAAAACATATCACTAGCGAAAGCAATGACCACAACAATAATAAAATTGCTTTGAAGCAACAACTCCAGTATTAGGCCTATGTTGACAAAAGAGCATTCTAACAAAGGTATTATCGGCTCATGCTCCAGTGCAAGACTAAAGAATTCAACAGGTGGATCAAAAACATATCACTAGCGAAAGCAATGACCACAACAATAATCAAATTGCTTTGAAGCAGCATCTTTACTCGTTATGGTCTTCCTCTCAATGGTAGGTAAGGCTTCTAAGCAAAAGAGTTACCAATAGTTCTTTGAAACTCAGCATAACTCATGACAGGCAAAACTCTCCTTTTATTGGTCTATAGAATAGAGGCACTTGCCCCAATAAAGTTATTACAACCAACCGCAACGGTCAATCCATATGAAAACTAAACTAGTCCGGACAAACTATCAAAGCATGGATGATGCCCATGATATAATCAAAAAATACATACCAGACATGTCTCACAAAAATGCAAGCGCATAAGCAAACAGCAACATCATTCTTTAATTCACATAGTCAAAGTCAAGTAATCTCTAATAGGGGAGCTAGATCTCCAAAAAATTTGAAAGTCACTGGCCAAATAAAAGGCCTTAGTGAATTGTTGCCCAAGTAAAAAGACCATTTCATTAACAAAGAATTAGTAGGAACAAGAACTTATTACCTATGGAATAATGAAGCCACTACTCCCCCCATAACCTGGAATGTTGATACTCTCAAGCACTACATTTTATGAAATTATTTTCAAGAACATTTCTCTTGAATGCCAAATTTTGAATTTTTATGCGAATTGCCAACAACAAAAAATTATGAGAAAGGAGAATTGACCAAGATCAAACAGGCCCCCAAAAGCCCAGCCTAAAAGGGTTATGTACATTATTTACAACAGCAACTATTAAATGAGCTCATGAACTTTTAGTGGAAAGCATGATCGTTAGCTCCTTAGTTATTAAATTTTTATATTGGGATTATTCTTCTTTAATTATGGTTTCACCGAAAAATTGTTTAAACATAGTGCTTAAACCTTTTCTTAGCCCAAAAAAATTGGCGTTTACTTTGGACATTTGTCTAAATTATAGAGAAACATTGGTGAAGTGAACTCGTAAGGCTATAAAGCTTGAGCCAATCCTTACGCGACCAAGCAGAGGCTCCAAGCCTAGAAAGTTCAGTGCAACCTCAAAATAATTAAGGTTATGATGCACCGACACTACATAATAATGAAGTGTATAGCATCAAACACCAACAAGACACATGCACTTTTTCCTGACACATATCAAAAACTTCATTTATGCATCTAATTAAAAGCAAAAAAAACTAATGGGCAAGTGTGCCTAAAATGAATATCATGAATAATAAATTTTAATTTTAATATATATTATATAAATAACTTAATTTAAAACTCCTCTTCCTTTAATTTAAAATCTATTGCCCAAACAACTTAATAGGCACATAAAACTAAGTTTATTTTCTTCTGTTCTATTTCTTATGACTTTTGTTATAAAGTTTAATTTTTTAAAAAAAATTGATTTCCTCAACTTCAGGCTAACAATCTATAATATCATCTAGCTATTCTTTTTTCAACTGAGTGTAAGCCTTTTAATAAATTTAATATTTTTTTCTTATTTTATGAGCAATTAAAATAAATTTATTATTCTATGAACTCATGTCATAATTAATTAACTTTTGCAGCTATCATACATTATTTATAGTTTTTAAGATATAATAATATATGTATCTAATTTATAATTATATCCTATATTTTATAATAATAGACATGCTTTGTGACAATGAGTGTGTTTATGCAATTATAAATTCGTTCCTCAGCAGAATTCTATTTTCTCACTTTTATACAACTCTAACAATAAAAAATGGTAACAAAATTAACAATGTGTATTAATGCAATTATGACCAAAATGCATCCTCATAGTGCATGATACCATTGAAAAAGCCAAAAATTAAAAATCACATACAATAGCAGGGCACAATCATATCTTCAATGAATGGTACCTAATTAACTTAAATCTAGCAATGAATAGAAAAGGGTGGAATTTACATACATGGAACACAATTCTTATGCATTTACATATCTCACACCTAAAAATTCATATTTACACGCAGAGCACTCAAACATTTAATATCACATCAAAAATAACACAATTACCACTTATTAAAAGTGAACTACACCTTTTCATGCACGGGTCTAAGGCAGCAAAGTGTTATATATGTAAATATGAAAGTTTAGTCGTGAGATATGTAAATACGTAAGAACTACGTGCAACTTGTATAAAAATCCCAAAATTTAAAAAAAAACTCACCTCCGGGTAATTTTCTTCTTGATCTGTAGCATATGCCCTTGCTTGCTGCAAAAAGCCCACAACAATCGAATAAGATCCCATACCCAATAATGACCTAGCAACATTTCAAACACTTACAACAGCTGGTTCTGAAGTTTCTGCATTATTAGTTTCAGAAAGAGATGCCCTAGGCGAGGAACCCTCATCAGATCCCTCGTGAACAGGTGAGGGTGGTTGCGGTGGAGAAACGTAGACAACTCTCAATTTGACGTCATCTACCTTATTGCCAGACTCCCGAGAGAACTAAAAGCGAGTGTTTCAGATTAGCGAACTAGTTCTAAAAAACTTTCAAGGAAAACAAAAAACAAAATTTTCTGTAAAAAAATATCACCATTTCTGCAGTAATGTCCTTGGCCAAGGTGCCCGGCTCAACAACAGCACTCTGAACAAGGAACTTGTCCTTGCACTGAATATCAATGGGAGCTTCCCTCTGCGCTTGCATGGTAACTGAAACCACCAACAAAGCCGTACAGAATCTGATTATTATGGCAGAAAGAAATTGTTGTAAAATATATATATAATCGGCATACCAGCAACATCGCAGGTGGATCGAGGTAAAACAATCCCATTGTTAGGTCTCACGCAATACTTCTTAGGGTTTGTCGTCTTAACCTGAAAACAAACACAATCATTCTCACAGGAAGAAAATCTAACAACTATAAGAGGAATTATCAGATAACCAAACAAATGCCTGATTTTTTTAGGGCATATCAAGCAACCCATATCAGGTAAAAGACTGAGACAAAAAAAAGGAAAATCCAGATTAAGCACCTTAAAAGCGATATGATCATCGCTTTTGTTGGATAACTGAAGGGAGCAAGTAATTTGTTTCCTTAATTCGACTGCTCATGAAACAACCAAAAAAGATGGAATTTTTCATTAAACAATTGAAAGAAAAAAAAAAATAAAAAAAGACGACTCGCTAAGGCTGCGGATCCCGCAAAAAGAATCACAAGGGAAGGAGAAAATACAAAAGTGAGAGAAGGAAACTCACAAGGAAACTTGAGTTCGGCGGGCTCGATTTCGAGCAGTTCTCCGGCGCTCATGTCGCTATCGACTGTTTGTTCGCTACAGCCGAAGCGAGGAAGAAGATCAACCACAAGAGAACAAACCAGAATTTATTTATCTAATGGCTGTTTCCCCAATTTAGTTAATCTGGAAATTGCTGGGCGGATCAAATCAATATATTCCATCAGGATTATCCGGCTAAATGGAGATTTGGCCGATACTATTGCCACAACAACAACAACAACAACAAGTTACAAGCCCTTGTCTTACTGTGCGGTCAATAACATGAATTTTTCTTCTCTATTGTATCCTATTAGTATCATATTTTCATTTAATTTTAATAAATTAAAATCATTTTTATATAATATGTCGTTTTGTTTGGTATATCTCATACTTTCTTAACATAAATCAAATCTAAAACATCTACTCTCCTAAGCCGAACATCATAACTGACGTTTAATGCGACCAAATCATCTAAAATGACTCATTCTAATATTATCTGTCACTTGAGCTACACCAAGTCTTTCATGGATACAATCATTTCGCATTTTATCTCTGAGTGTCCAACCACTCATCTACCTAAGCATTTTCATCTTAGCAACAATTAATTATTTTCAATGCTTCTCTTTTAAACGCTAACATTATGTGTTATAAAAACATTGCAGGTCTACGCAGTGTTTTTCTATTACACAATAGCCCCCATGCATTCCTCCACTTCTACCACCAACTTGAATTCTACTGATAGCATCCCCATCTATATCATCATTATTTTGAACAACAGACCCGATATATCTAAAATGATAACTCATTTTAACTATTTAATCACACATAGATGCAACTCTGGTACTATATCATCTACTACAACTAAAATTACATTATATGTATTCAGTTTTAGATCTACTCAAATGAAAGCCTTTAGACTCCAATGTAGACCTCCATAATTCAAGTTTTTTCTTCAAAACTTTCTCTAGTCTTATCCATAAGCAGGAGATCATCAATGAAAAGCATAAACCAAGGTACATCCTTCTGTAATTGTCCGATAAGAGCTCCATAACTAAGCAAAAAGATATGGGTTTAAAGCCGATCCCTGATACAATTCAACTAAAATAGTAAAATGCTTTATCAATCTCTCTTCTTGTCAAACACAAGTAACAATTCTAGCATATATATCTTTAATGACTTGAATATAAGTAATATCAACACATTTCTTTTCCTAGAACTCTCCAAATAATTTTTCTTGGAACCTTATCGTAAGTTTTTTATAAATCAATAAAAATCATATGTAGAACCTTCATACTCTCTCTATACTTCTCCAACAAACCTCTCAATAAATGTATAGCTTCCATATTAGGCTTGCAGGACATAAATCCAAACTAGTTATGAGAAATCTTTGTATCACATCTAAACATATATTCAATTATTCTCTCACATAATTTTAATGTATGACACATCAAATTAATTCATCTATAATTAGCAAACTCTTATGCGTCCTCTTTATTCTTAAATGTCATGATTTCGGTGTTATAAATGTAAAAATCAAAAATTAGGTGTTTGATATGTAAATATATAGAAATTGAGTGGCATGTATGTAAATCTTGATATCATCTTTTTCTTTGGGGGTTCTATATATACTTACCACCTAAAATAAGAATATTCCCTAGCATTTTTCTTTGAGGTTTTTACAAACCCACCAACTAATATCTAAGGATTTACAGCTCAAACACCTAAGCTTTAATATTTGCAAATTAACCAACCAGAACATTTACCTCCTCAAATTTGTCACTCATCATTAGTGACATTGTTTGCCTCCGTCGCATTGCACACATTCATCATTCGCTCATCATTTACCCCTAAAAACATCATCTGATGATCCTTCCGTGCCACCATTGGAGCATTTCGTTTTTTTCCTCAATGTTTTCTCACAGTGGTTGTAGCCCCAAACATACATTACACTCTTTATGAGGAAGCTCATGGCTTGTAACTCGTATAAAACCTTATCCACTTTCATTTGCCACAACTCCTTATCATTCAAAATGATTCACCATAATGCATAAATCAACATTAATAAGGGTGTAATAAATTAAATAACGCAGATAGAAGATTGGCTCATCATGCGATCTAGATTACCTTCATTTAACTTCTAAATGAGGATTCATAAGAATAGTCATATAGGTAGCGGATTTCAAACTTGAAGCTTCGGATTCACCAGAATGCATAAATCAACATTAATAAGGGTGTAATAAATTAAATAACGTAGATAGAAGATTGGCTCGTCATGCGATCTAGATTACCTTCATTTAACTTCTAAGTGGGGATCCATAAAAATAGTCATATAGGTAGCGGATTTCAAACTTGAAGCTTCGGATTACCCCCATGTGGGCTCTAAATATTTGACACCCCAGACTCTCCTTAGTCGAGAGCATTGTATTTAGGTATTCAAGGGTCAAGTTTTCAGAGAGCATGCTAGATTATAAATAAGAAACTACCCATAGATTTTGTCCTTAATTTGTGGGGACTTTTTAATTTGAGGTTCAAGGTGTTTGTTTTTTTTGTTCTTTTTAAAGGAACTCTGAGTCATAAACTTATCTATTTATATGTCGTCATTATATGATTCCTTCTTTTTCTGAATAAATCTCCCTCTTGGATCAAATAAATGATCTAAGGATGAAAGAAATTTGAAAAGACGGGATATGTAACGAAAATAGACAAACAAATTTAAAAATAAAAACATGGAGGGCTTATATAGGGGTGATCCTCGTGTGATAGATCGAGAGTATACATCCAAATAAAATCGAATCAAAATACATTAAAACATGATATCCATGAAGAAAATCTTTATATAAACCACAAATAACCAAAGGAACATATTTATTTGATTAATTAGAACTTGGAGGACACCCAAGAATACTCTCGATAAAAGGGGTTTTACTTATATTTCATAACCTGGTGAAATAGAACACCAAATGATGGTTATTTTGTATGAAAATGCCCTTATGCTTTCAAATCTCTCGCTAAGTCACATGGCAGAGAGTGAGTCTCTCACATCTCAAATGAGTATCGGCTCATTGGCATGTGAAACCTACAAAACAACCAAAACGCCTCAATAGGGATACCCCTATTCTTCAAAGCTCATCGACCCATAAAGGCAGAGGTTGAATCATCGTATGTCGGATGGGCAGCAACTCATTAGTAATCAAGTCGTCAAGTCGATACCAATGAAGTCAAAACAAGATGACATGGCTCAATAGGGCTCAACAACATGAAGAGTAGACTAATTCCTAAGCAAGTAGAGGTAGTCAGGGCAGGATACCATGGATCCATAATCCCAAGCCACTAGGACCCTATGTTTAATTAGTCGTGAAGCTACTCGACCCAACACGACCAAAGATCCCTTGTCAGCAATTCGTGAATTATGTCACCCAAGGGAATACCAGTAGCCCTAAGGTCAAAAGAATGAAACTCTATTCCTTTGATCAATGTTGGTAGAGCTTAAAGAGGTCAGACTTATACCCACCAAATAAACGACATGGATGCCATAGGAAATAAGGGAAAGA